AGTCTGGCTAGAGGCTTTTGGGCTAAGGGAGAGAAAAGAGACATGACTAATGATAGAGTCACCATTATTTCCCCAATAGAATTTAGATACTATAAACATAATATTTTCCACACTGGTTGAATGTTCCATTGCTATGTTTAATTCCCATACACTTAAACTTTCAAAAACATTATTTATTGCCCTTGAGCAAATTTCCTGCCTTTGATCTCTCCTCAGAGCTTCAGACCCCGTATTTCCATTTGCTCACTGGACATACATACCTGATCTTCTAGAGGCCCTTCAAATACAACACATGCCTAGTAGACCTAATTGTTTCCTGTCATATCTACTCTTCATTTTTGTTCCCTCTCTCTATTATCAACATCATCAAACACTCAATTGCTGAAGCTAGAAACTTCAGAGTCCTCTTACACTACTTCTTCTTCCCCTCACCCTCCATTTTCAGATGGCTACCAAGTCCTGGTAATTCTACTTTAAAATATCAGTCATTTATAAATGTTTTCCAGTATAAAGTTCATAAGACACATCATAGAATAAGTAAAGGATAAGAGAAAATTAATTGCCCATACTTCTACTACCTTAGTGCAATCACCCTTACCATTTTAGCATGTTTCTTTCTGTTTTTTTTTCCCTGTATTTAATTTGGTTTTATTTACTTCTTTTTTCATTCTTTCCTTCCCTCTCTTTCTCTCTCCTTCCCTCTGTCTCTATCTCTCCCCGTCCCTCCCTCATTTTATTGACTAAATTCCACATTTTATTCAGATTTCACCACTTTTTCCCATGTCCTTTTTCTGTTCTAAAATCAGTCCAGGATACCATATTGCATCTAGTTATTATGGCTCCTTAGTCTCCTCTGGTATGTGACTGTTTCTAAGCCTTTCCTTGTTTTTTATGACCTCGACGGTTTTGAAGAGTACTGGTCGGATATTTTGTAAAATGTTCCTCAATTCTGGCTTGTCTAATGTATTTTCTCATGATTAGACTGAAGTTACGGATTTTTAGAACACTGTGCAAGTGACGTGCCCTTCTCATCACATCATATCAGGGTACATGATATCCACATGGCATCGCTCGTGTTGTTAACCTTGATCACTTGATTAAGGTAGTGTTTACAGGGTGTCTCCACTGTAAAGTTACTACTTTTCCCTTTCCATATTTCATTCTGTTTTAAATAATATTTTATTGTGTTTTCAGTGAAGGTTTACATAGTAGTTTATGTTCCCATTCAACTATGTCTACATAAGTTGTTCAGTGACATTGGTTACATTCTTCACAATGTGAGAACATTCTCAGTATTTCCGTTCTGATTGTTCCATTTCCATTAATCTATGTTTCCCTGCCCCCTTACATTCTCTTTGTTTTAAAGTAATTGTTGACCTTTTTGTCTCATACAGGTGATGTTTTAAAGGAGCACAGTACTCATGGGTGATATTTTTAATTTTGTGAGTCAATCTGTCATTTAGCTAAAAGGTGACCACAGGCTAGTTTCAGTTCAAGGTTTAAACAGTGTCTCAGGGCAATAGTCTTGAGGAGTCCTCCAGTCTCAACTGGTCCAGTAAGTTTTTTGTTTTGTTTTTTTTTTTTAGGAATTTGAGGTTCTGTTCCATATTTTTCTCCCATTTTATCAGGGTCCATCTATTGTGGCCTTGATCAGAATGATTGGTAGTGGTAGCCAGGCACCATCTAGTTCTTCTGGTCCATATTTTATTCTTCAGTAACAAGTCACTAAGTCCAGCCCTCTCTGGGATGGGGGCTTAAATTCTATCTCCAGGAGGTGCAAGTATCTACAGATATTATTTGGGATATTCTGTAAGACAGATTTATCTCTTTTCCTCCATTTATTTATTTATTTATTCAATCATTCATTTATATCAGTATGGGCTTGTTATTTTCGCTATTTCACTCCTAATAGTCTACCCCAACTCCATCTTCTCATTCTGACCACCTTGAACTATTTGTCTTTCATTAAAATGATTTGTACTTTCTTGTCCCTACAACCTTCCTTACACTTGCTCCCTATGCTAGAGGTTTTAAAACTTACTTACATACTGTGATTTTTAATTTTATGTGTCAACTTAGCTACACTATGGCACCCAGTTTTTTGGCCAAACACCAGTCCAGATGCTGTTATGAAGTAGTTGCATGTGATTAAATCAGTTGGCTTTAAGGAAAGCAGACTACCCTCCATGATGTAGGTGGGCCTTATCCAATCAGTTGAAGGCCTTAAGAGAAAAAACAGTTTTCCCGAAGGTGTATTCTGCCTCCATACTGTAAATAGACACCTTGCCAGAATTCCTCCACTCTTTTCTTTCCTTCATCTGAGCTTTGGATTTTGGGACATAAAACTTCAAAAATCTTTAGCCTTTTCCCTGATCTGTAGATTTTGAACTTGCCAGCTCCTACAGT